CGTTGAACATATTCTTTCACAGCAAAATACATATATGCATGCAAATATATGTGTATATTTTGGTATAGTTATATATAATATACATTATATATATTAAATATCTATATATATATATATAATATATATTGTAATCTATACAAATGTACGTTGAAAATCTTTCGACCTTTTCGTTGTCCAATAATTCCCGCCTACTTTGTCACTGAGTTGATCGCATGAAGAGAATGTTACAAAATCAGGTACCACGTTAAATACCAACGAATATACAATCAGTTTCGTAAACCTTCTGCGGCAATGTATATATACATCGATAGCCGGAATAGGTATATTATTCCGATATTAATTGCTTTCCACACTTCGTAAACTTCTTTCGCTTTTTTACATTACATCTGTAATTTAATTAACGCACGATGGATTCCTTTTTTTGTTTCTTTTCTAATTCACATTGCTACACAAAGTTTAATTAATAAATGAGTGTCTAAATATGTAAAAACGAAGAAATTGGACCTTAAAAGATTGTAATTGATAAATTTCTGTCAATAATTGCCTGTACAATATCATAATAATAAAATGTTGCAATGACAACCCTCTATTTAACTTATAATCCCATGAATAGTCGCGCATAGAATAAATTCGATGCACTATGGAATATCGAAAATCCTCTCGATAGATTAAGATCGTATTATGTTTTTTCCTCTTCCGCAATTCAATTAATTTGCTTTTCATGACGTTCTGTTAGATTCTATAGACTCTCTTAGTGTCGAAACGAGCGCTCTCATAACAGCAGAAACACATTCACAAATTTATCCATATGCACTGTAAACTGCACTCATTAGCGTTTAACAAGTATAAACAATGAATAACACGTTTATTGAGTTCCTATGTCGAATTATTTTGCAACTAAATATTTTGACACTGAGAGAGTCAAATATTTTACTGAGATACTTGTATCTGAATATCACTTGATATTATATAAATATTATTATAAATAAAAACATTTTTGTTTATAAAAAAACAATTGCAAATTGATGAAATATTAAAAATTAAATAACTCTAATAGTTTTGTTCAATTTATGATGCGAGATTAATTCGGTATTCAATAGTGAGAATTCAATTGTATAAAGCATAAATAACACCTGTTGTTCAACGCATTCTCTCTATATCAACAGACTATTCGCATCACCAAGAACATAATGGAACTCCAGATTTGATCTTATATCTTATAAAATAATTAATCCAATAGATAACAAACTTCTTTATACTTTTCTTCGATTTTAAAACGCTGTATAATAATAGATATAATAATAAAGATATCGACGTTTACAGTGTCGTTCGTTCGTGGCGCTGCAAGCTTCGATTACGAGTGTAAACGCAGTCAGTTTTACAGTCAATTTGCAAAGTTAATAAATTCGAGTAATAACCTTGAGGATTTGAAAGAAGCGACCCTTAAGCGTCGTTCACATGTATGCATATATTTTTCCCGATAGCTTTCTCATTGTTTAATAATAAAATAATATTAAAAAACAATATGTTATAAGTATATATTAATACACAAAGATATATGTAGTACGTGGAAATTGGTTCCTTTTTTAGATGACATTTCGCAATGAATCATAAATAAGAATAACTTTCTTCGATTTCCTTACCCCCCACTTTGAATCTCTGTTTAAATATTAGATTTTTACTGCATCAATAACAAAAAAACATTGCATATTTAAGTTTGTTTCTTGTATTTTAAATTATTTTTTATGAATTATGTATTAATATTTCTTCAAAAAAATTGAAGAATATGTAAATATTATTTGAATTCGATATTAAGTTGTAATATTATAATATTATAATAAATTGTATTATATAATATTATAATAAACATTCGTTAGAAAACTGAATGTTTGGAAAAGAAAACGCGAAGGATTCGAATATTAATTTGAAATATCAAAGAAGAAATAAGCGTGTAACATTGTATTACGCTTATCGTAATTTTTCTTACGAGATATCTGGAAGGTCTAACTGTCAAACTACGAGTTAAAATTTACGATTTGATATGGCATTAGAACGCCATTAACAATGCGGAAAAAAATAATGGAATAGGTGCACTATACGTAATTCACTTGATACGCTTCATCTCGAAAACAGCAAGTTCAAACATCATTCATCCTCCTAATGCGTTCTAATATCGAGCCTGCTTTTACACGTTTCACTCGATCGAAATACTATTTAACTATATGTATATGTCGTTACTATATGTATATAAACATTAACGCCTGAACATCGAGAAAAATTAATGCACGACTGAAGAACAAATTCTCCATTCGAAGAATTATACAACTTTCTTTTCATTTTGTTGAACGTATTCAGAGAGAACATTTACAAAGTTACACGTATCTTTTTTTTTTTTTTTTTTTTTTTTTTTTTTTTTTTTTTTTTTTTTTTCTTTTTTTTTTCTTTTTTTTTTTATAATAATGTATCGAATTCTATATGAGAAACTTCGAAGTGCACTAATGGATTGAAATATGTAGTATCTACAACGACTAAAAAAGTGTATATGTATAACGTGTGACAGAAGCCACATTTTTATTCGTAAAATTCATCATCGTAACATCGCGTTTTACGGTTTTTCCATTTTAATCTGAAATCATGCTGTGAAAATGTCCGATTTAACACTTTAACTGGTATGCGGTGGACCGTGGTATATAGCATACCGTGCACAATACTTTTAGAAAACTACGACGACACCGATTAACCGTAACAGAATCGAATAATACGATATATTGTGTTGTAACTTTCAAAGAAGATTTAAACATATATTTGTAAAAATTAAATGTATTATCAATTAAGATAAATTCTTGTCTTGTAAAACGAAATGCAGATTTTTATCAGTGCGATATTGAGAATCGAATTGCAACAGAGATAAAAATAAATGTTATCTTGTAATTATTAAACTATATACTATACTTTTTATTAAAAAATTCTGATACGAAAGCAAGCTTACTTGGTAAAAACGAAACCGATTCGTCATTATTTTGCACGAAAACTGTGTATACGCGTATTGAGTAATTCGAAACAATTGCCAGAGTTTTTTCTTTCATGAAATAAAACGATGATCGAAACGATGAATATCAATAGAGCTACATACATATTTTTGCCGAAGAAATACGTAACATGATGCAAAGCGATAATTTGATATCCCATTGAAAAAATTTGTGTAGCATTAGACAGTAATGACATACCAAATAAGTGTTAAATATTATCCTACGGATAAATAATCTTTTATTGCATTTTCATAGAGATATCTAACTCAAAAAAATGCTATGCAATATTTTGTTTTCGTTTCGACAATTATCAACACCGTAAACAATCCCATACTGATTTGAAACTAATTGAATAATCCTATTTCAGGGTCATCGTTGTTCGGCACGGGACGCGTCATAACGTTATTCTGTTCCGAAAATTTCGATTTCGTGATATAAGATTCACAATTATTCACAATATCATGATTAAATATTCTTTCTTTTTGTCTTCTTCCTCTCTCTTTTTCCGTTATTTATATATATATATATATATATACCCGCGTCTAAAAGAGCTTCAACGAACGACAATATTTATTTTGGGCCCGGTGACGTTTTTTATTTTTCACTTCGAAAATGTTTCTCTCTTATTTTTATTTATTTATTTTTTTTTTTTTTTTATTCTCACAGAACATATTTTATTTAGCGGATTTTCGTTCCATCTTATCTCGCAATTCGACAATAAAAAATAACTTGCCCGCGTTTTTTTTATTTTTCAGCCCTTAACTAACATATATGTACAAGTATCTAATGGTGTTTTGGTAAATATTCTTCTAGTTTCTTTTTTTTTTTTTTTTTTACGTATCGATTGAGGAGCGCGCGAAATTTCAGAATATCATGTTTCATGTTTCAGTTGTTGAATAGTGCGATTTCTCGACGAAATGTCAAAAATGTCAAAACGATTATTTCTTTAGTGAAATATGCAATTGGTAATAAAACGATCAACATATATAATATATAAGCATTTCATGTAAAATTATAAACTCGCATTTTCGTGTTTATCAGTCGAATTTACTGATTTTTATATCGATATTCATCATTTATAATACGATATTGAAATGATTGCATATGCACAATTATTATCTTGTCTTTCGTGAAAGTTTTTTTTTCCTGTTTAATTTTTCCATTCAACGCAAAAGCATTCCTTTTCAATTTGCATTTTCACTGTTATGTTTTATACCACCCGTTTCTTTCGATTGGAATGAATTATATTTGTGTGTGTGTGTATGTGTGTGTATGCGCGCGCGCGCGCGCATGTGTGTGTGTAAAGAAAAAGAAAAAAATTGCTAGTTATTATGTTTGAGAAGCGTTTTACAATCTCATAAAACAAAACGAATCAACGAATGAACTTACATCGAACCGAATATTTTCCCGTTCGCATGAATGGTTTATTCGTTATATCAGTTTCATTCTATCGTACTTAAAACGATGTAAAATTTTTTTCTTTCCTTTAGGAACTTATAATACTATTCGTGATATACATCGTCCTGATTTTACCCTGAATTATCACGTGGGTCTGATAAAAGCAAGTCTTTCATTCTTCAATATATTTTCGTTTGATCGATAGAATTTACGTATACATTAATTAATATACGTATACAATTTCCTTATAATTGCATTGTTTTTTTTCAATTGGATTTTTACAAGTTAAAAAATTTTAACAATTATTCTTTCCTTGAAATTAATCATAATGTTATATTATACATGCATACGTATACTGTAATTGTAATATATGACAGACAGAAAAGTGAAATGTTAATATTCGTTTAAATAATGTTCTAGAGTTTAGTAGGCATAAATTATAGAATATATTAATAAAAACTGCAAGCATGAAGAAACTTGTAAGAATAATTTTTTCCACGATCGAATGAACTTCTTGTCCGGATAATAGTAGCAAGCGTTCATCAAAACCCACATGACGATCAAGTACGTTCATTTTAATTAAGGATATCACAAGACGGTACCCACTACAATAGTTAGACCGGGCTATCTCATTAAAAGACAATCTCCATCGATTAGTCATATACGACAAACATTTTTCGCATAGATCTTCTAAAAGCACTTCTAAACATTTTTCTTTGTAGGAATTTCATATCGCGTATCGTTTTCCTAATACACACAGTGTTCCATCTTTACTTATATTATTCTCTCCATTTTGTTTCAAATTTTTTTTTTTTTTTTCTATTATATTTTTAACATAAGCTTGTTTTTCATTTGTTCTCTTTTTCGCCATTTTTTTCGAGCACCTTTTTCTAAGATTTTATATTTTATCACAGATGTTTTATTCTTTCGATTTCCTTTTTATTTATAGCCCACTCGGTATAACACTAGCAAGGAACACATTTGTTATTATCCCTTCTCTTGTAAATGCCATCGTGCGTTACTTCTGCTATTTTTCATATTTCTTTCCTCCCTTTCCTTTCCTAGTACGATTTTTCTTTCATTGTATCTCTCGCTAAGCCGAAATGATATTATGATCACAGCTTTCGTCTTGCCATTATGCGCAAGAAAATACGATTCACACTAAGGCCTGCCTTAGTACAAAAATATACATTCGCTTCTTAAAAAATAGATCTTAGCATTCTGTACTGGCTAGCGTTCGTTTGATATTTTACAATAGTTTGATTCTTGGCAGGCTGTCTTAATGATTAGTATTTATCGGCTATGAGAACCACCATCGAGTGAGCTTTCATTATTTTTTTTCTTTTTTCACAAGGAGCTTATCCGATCTAAACACTAGCTGGTGCACCATCCCTTTTTTTTTTTTTATATTATAAGACGCGCATATTCATAAACTGATATTCGCGTGACTGAATCAAAGGCGAATCAATGAGGGCCGCGACCTGAAACGGAAAGCTATGAAGTAGGAAGAAAATCGTTAGACAACAATCGAAACAAGTGTTATCGATAATAGGTATAATCGATGTGAACAATTATTCGTTTCGATGGAATTCATGAATCACGAACGATGCTTTCCGCTTAGTCGGGATCATCCTTGTTTTATGAATATGAGGTCAGACGTGGCGAGATGTGCGGATCGCTTAACTGTGGTTATTACCTTTCCCGGTAGGTTCAGTCTTATACTTGGTTTGTCATTTGCGTTTATATCGATATATGCGTGTAATTAGGATGTGTCCGTTTGGTTAAGCGGACCGCACGAATGCCGTTTTTTTTTTTTTTTCTACATGACTTTTTACACAGGATTCGCAGAGATGGTACGTATCACTTGATTTTTTGTTGCTATTTTCACTCACTTTTGGATAAATTCCGTTCTTTCGCATTTGAACGCATCTCATCTCTTCTGTTCTCTCTCTCATACGTTATCGTTATTTCGCAGCATCATATGTTCTTTCACACTGTTTTCTCTTACTCTCTCTCTCTCTCTTTAGACTCACACGTCGGGCATCAAACCCGCGAGTATACTGTTTATGCAGGACTTCATTTGATTTAAAAACAAAATAATAATAATAATAATAATAATAATAATAATAATAATAATAATAATAATAAT